AAATTGCTGTCCCATGCTAGATCATTTTCTCACACTGTTAAAAAAGAATATGTACTTTGAAAACAATATTTATATTGTAAATATATGCAAAAAACTAAAACGTGTATTTGGCTTTTGTTCTTAGACATTTATGTGCCTGTTGGATTAGCCATCAGGCAGCTTCCATTCCACCTCTCTAGCTGCCACCAAGCAAGGGAGCCTGACGTATCAGAAGCCTCTTCCTGTCGGGCTCAGATAGAGCACAGCAGTCTTGATATTTGTGCTGGGGTGATGGGCAGCATGCTAGACAACAGGACAGGAAGGTTTTGAGGCAGCCCAGGGAGGGGGGGCACACTCCTGTTACCCCAACACTTGAGGTGCAGAGGCTGGACGGTTGCTGCAAGTGTGAGTCCAGCCTGGTCTACATAGTGACATAGTGAGCTCCAGGACAGCCAGGACTATAGACCCTGTCTCAAAACCAACTATTAACCACTCAGAATCTCACTGGGTTCCAGACAACTTTCAATTCCGCTACTATGTATCCCTTTAATTAAAAACGCAGTCTTTCCCATGATGAACTGTAGATGAGTCACAAAGTTCTTGCCTAACATGCACAAAGCCCTAGGTTCAGCCCACAGCACAGTGGGAACCAGGCATGGTGGTATACTGTAATCCCAGCACATGTGAGGCAGAGGCAGGAGGATCAGGAGTTCAAGGTGAGTTTGAGGCCAACCTGAGCTACATACACTTCTCAAAAGCAGGAAGGGAGGGATGGAAGGAAGAAAAGAAAATTCTTCTGATCTTTTAAAAGTTTTTATATGCTTACCAAATCCCAAACTTTATATATATATATATTTTTTTTTTTTTTTTTTTTTTTTTTTTTTTTTGCACATTTACGTCAGGCTCACCAGAGGGAGCTTTGTAAGAATCTCTGTCAGGAGTTTTTTTTTCTGAGTGTTTCTAACCTCTATGGCTAATTCTTTAAGCACTCGGTTCCTTGTACTAGCCACATTAAATGCTCAGTAGCATTTAGCACTACGTGATTAGTAGCCAGCGTGTTGGAGAGCACAAATGTAGAATACTCATAGCATCACAAAGTGTTACGGGGTGATGGGCAGTCCTATTCTGGACTGATGGCAACTCAGGCTACAAGGATGGAAGTGATATCCAGAAGAATGTACAACTAGAGGAGAGAATGGGATTCAAGAGAAGACAAATCAGGCTGTCAGGCTTGGTGGCCAGTGCCTTACTACTAAGCTATCCCATCAGCCTTAAAAATCCTCTTTTTAAGTGATAGGTAAACCCAGGGTTAGTGATCCAGGCCTGTAGCCCCAACATTTGGGAGACTGAGGCAGATGAATTGTAAGAGGCCAGTATAGACTACATAATGATTCTGTCTCAAAACAAAACAACAACAAATGACAAGCCAGGTAAAAAGCCAGGCATAGTGGCTCATATAATCCCAGCATTCCAAAGCCCAAAGCAGGAGGATCATGAGTTCAAATCTAACTAGAGAAGATCTATAGTAAGTTGGAGGCTAGCCTGAGTTACATAGATTCTTTGTCAAAAATCAAATAAAAAGGGGCAGATACATTCTGAAGGTGGAGCCCAGGAAATTAATGAGTTCAAGAGGAACCTGAACCATAGAGTGAGACCTTTCATGTCAGACATTAAATTTTTAAAAAGAGGCAAGTAGAGACTCAACATAGGAGATCAAGAAGGGACAAGGCAAAACCAGGAATGTTGGCTCATACCTGTAATAGGGCAATGACATGTACAGGGACCATAAAGAATGAAAACATACCAGGAAATTTGATCCTGGGGACCAGAGTAGCTCAAACTCCTAAAGGGCAGAGGAAGCGTGGTCTCCAAGGAAAGATTTTAATAATGTATAGCTGTATCTACACATACTTGAAACACATCCTTGAGTTGTGTTTCATGGTTTCCATAACTTGTGGTTAGTTTCAGTCCAGGTGGAGAGAAGCTGAGGACTGTTCTCTACCAGTTTTGGCCCAAACTAAAAAGAAACAAACAAACAGTAGCCACAGAAACAGGCTGGCTTAGACTTCCTGTATAGCTCAAGATGGCCTTGAATTCCTGCTCTGCCTGCCTCTGCTTCCCACATGTTGAGATTACAGATCTGTACCACCACAACTGACACCTTCCTTTCTCCTAATGTGGGTGAGTATTGCTCTGGGACCAGGGCCAGGTTTTAAGGCTTCATTGATAGTATCACTTGGGGAAGGCTGGCTTCTTAGACAGTTCCACAAAACAGGGCATTGCCCTTGAGGAATTTTCCATTTGGTCAGCCTGTCTCCCAAAGAACTCAGATTTGCCCTGACATGAATGTTATTATCTATCTAAGGAACGTGTGTGTGTGTGTGTGTGTGTGTGTGTTACCTGTCTTCATCTCCCTCTCTCTGCCTCTGTTTCTCTGTGTGTGTGTCTGCTGAAATGTGCACAGAATTTTTATTCTTGATACATTTATTTGTACAACAGAAAACATTGTTACTGAAAGATGTGCAGGCATCACAGTATTTTTAGGATTCAGTGATGCTTAGAGGCCAACCTTTGGACCAGAGAGGATTATCAGTTTGTCATTTTTATATAGATACTTTTTTTTTTTCATTGTAGGAACAAATTCTCTTTCAGGTCACGTATACTTTTCTTTTCCCTTGTTAAAATTTAACCCAAAATTTGCTGACGTTTATATATATATATGCGTATATACGAATTGTATTTAATTAATAAAAAATACTAGTTAGATGCATCCATTCGCCAGACTATTATATTTTTTTCTTCTCTCTATAGGTCTACTCAAATGAAAAGCACCAAGAGGCTAAAGCAGGAGGTTTGCTTGAGTGTGGCTAGTTGGAGACCCTGTCTGGAACAAAGGCAGGTTGGTGGCACATGCAGGCAGTCAGATTTCTATGAGTTCTACAACATCTAGAAATACATATAGAGAGCATCTTATCTCAAAAAACAAAACAAAGCAAAAAAGAAGGGTTGAGGGAGGCACAGAAGGTTAGTTTGTCAGTATAGAATGATAAGAAATCCGTAGTTGGCTTTTGTTGTTCTTTTTCCTCAGTTTTGGTTTTGGAGACTCATCTTCATGTAGCTTGGGCTGTGCCTCAACGCATACATTACAGAGACTGACCTTGAACTGCAAGTTCTTCTCTCTACTTGGAAAGTTCTGGAATCATAGGTGTGCAGTTCAGATGTCCAAGAGTTAGCCTCTTAAGCTTTTTTTTTTTTTTTTTAAGGTTTCTCAAGACAAGGTTTCTCTGTGTAGCCTTGGCTGTCCTGGAACTCACTCCATAGGCCAGGCTGGCCTCAAACTAAGAGATCCACCTGCCTCTGCCTCCCAAGTGCTGGGATCAAAGTACCTCCAGAGAAACCCTTTTATCTTAAATTGTCATTTGGCTGACTAACCTTTTCCTTTCTTCTCCAACAGGAACTCAGTATTACTCAAACTCAGTCAAGCCTTCCTGTATGTGATTCTACACCACGATGAGGTTTTGTGTTAGCTTGGTTTTTGTTGTTGTTGTCTTGTTTTATTTATTTATTTTGAGACACATAGCCTAGGCTAGCCTCAAACTCAAGCAGAGGATGACCTTGAACTTCTTGATCCTCCTGCCTCTACCACCCCAGTGCTAGGTCTACAGGCATGCACTACCACACTCTTTTTATGTGCTGGGAGTAAAACACAGGGACACGCATTCCAGGCAAATGATCCATCTGCCACTGGGCTAAGTTCCTCTCTCTCTGTCTCTCTTTCTCTGTCTCTGTCTCTGTCTCTCTCTGTGTGCTTGTTTTTCCAGTGATGGAGAGATTGAACGCAAGAATTTGTACATGCTAAGCAAATCCTCCATCACTGAGCTACATGCCCTGTCTTTTGATCCAGGGGCCAATTAAATTACCCTGGGTGGCCTTTGATTTACTCTATTGCCTAGGCGGACATGAATTTGCCATCAGAAGGATGGTCCTGCCTCAACCTTCCAGACAGCTGGGATTACATAGTCCTAAGACACAGGACCTACCTTTGGTGTTGATGGCTTCTAAATTCCATATCCAATTACTAGGATCTTTTGATTGCTCCCCTGCCCTCCAGAAGTGCATCCATTACCTTCTGATTCCTACTAGTTGAACGTATAAGGCCACCTTATTCCCAGATTTCTAAAAAACATTTCCTTGGAACCCAATGTGCCAAAAGCTATAGGATGCTTAGTAGAATGAGGTGTAGATATGAAGCCACAGGTCTTGACAGTTAAGAAAGTCATTGTGAGCCAGGTGGTGGCAGCACACACCTTTAATGCCAGCTCTCAGGAACCAGAGGCAGGTGGGTCTCTGAGTTCTAGGCCAACCTGGTCCACAGAGTGAGTTCCAGGATAGCCACGGCTACACAGAGAAACCCTGTCTCAAAAAAACTAAAGAAGGAGGAAAAGAAAGAAGAAGAAAGAAGGAGGATGAGAAGGAGGAGGAGGAGAAAGAAGAAGAAGAGAGAGAGAAAGAAAAACAAAGAAACAAAGAAAGAATAAAAAGTCACTGTGGAGCTCAATGTTTTGGAGAGTAAGGAACTGAAGCAGAATTCATTGATCAGGTATTTATTGCATAGAAAATACCAAGGTCTGGGAGGATCTCTGAGTTGAAATATTGGCTGCTTCTGCAGAGGCAACCCAGGATAATCACAATTCCTGTCTAATGATGCTGTGCTTGTGGAACTCTCCAGAGCGGTTATAGCTTTGAAGATGTAGGTCTAAGAAAAGGTTGTGTTGAGGCAAGGTGGAGGTACTGAGGAAGTAAAGCTGAAGCAGAGGTACTGCAAGCAGATGGGTTAACTAGGTCAGAGAAGTCTGGAAAGGGGCGGAGAGACGTAGCCACAGATAAACTACAATTCCCAGGAAGCACTTGTGCGCGGAAGTGAGGTGAGGCGCGAGCCGCAACCTTTAAGGGAAAGAGGAAGTGCTTGGGCGTCGCAGGGCCGGAGGCGCGGGGATAGGTAGGTAAGGGTGCGGCGCGGCAGTTTGGCGGGCCTGGGCTGCGGGAGCTACGGCGGGCGGGAGCCCGGGGCCCGTGTCGTCACAGCGTGGCACTCGCCGGCCCGGCGGGCAACAGGGCTGGCAGAAGGCGGACGGCGGCCTTGCCCCCACGGTAATCGGTTTTCTCCCGGCGTCTCTTCTGCAGAAGGAGCACCATGTCCGCGGAAGTCCCCGAGGCAGCGTCGGCCGAGGAGCAAAAGGTTCGTGTGCGGGATGGCCCGGCGTGCCCGCAGGACCAGGAGTGGCGGGAGCCTTGGCTGGCGGGCCTGCGGGAGCGCGGCCTGAGGGAGGCCGGCCTGGAGCCCTCCGCTGGCGTCACCTCACACGGCGATGACTCCCCCGGCCATCAGGGCCCGGGCGGGTTAAACACCTAACGTTTCTCCCCGGTGCCTCGGGGTGTCACCTAAGTATACCAGAAAGCTAGGACTCCCAAGTTTTATAGTGAGTTTTTATTTGCTTAGGAAGTGGTATTCCCCTCCCCGGAAGCGCTTGGACCCCTTGTAAGTTTGCAGATAACTCTTAACGCGGTGTCTCCTCCATTCAGGCGGCGATGCAAATCTAGATTAAGATTGTGAGCCGCGTGACCCCGTGATCTGTTCCTTTAAACCCTTGGGCTTCAGTTTTCTCTTCGGTAAAGTCTCGGTAATAGCGCCTACTTCCCAAGACGGCTGTGAGGCCCAAATGAGATAGTGTAAACCCAGCACAGCCTTTGCTCACCAGCTGGTGGGGTTTGCAGGTGGTAGTTGACTAAAAGTCGAAAATCTTCACTAACTTAATCAGCTGGTTCTCGAGACATGGGGAGATATTTTTGTCAGCCCATTTGTATTTCTCTGATGAAGAAAAACGTGCTAGCAATATGTCTGTGAATATGAGGCCTGGCCTAGTGCCTGCCCATTCCATCATAATAATTCTGATGCCTTGCCTTCCTGGGTACATGGAGTCAGCTGAGAAAGGAGAAAAGCTCTTGGTCTCATCTCTTATTAAATTGTTTATGGAGAGTTCCCAGCATTTTCTTTTCTCTTTCTTTCTTTCTTTTTTTTTTTTTTTTTTTTTTATCAAACTGCGACTTTAATCCCAGCACTCGGCCAGAAGCCGGTGGATATTTGTGATTTCCAGGCCACCTGGAGCTACATGGTGAGACCCTGTCTCAAAATTAACTAATTGATGAATTGGAAATTAATGCCAAACTGCTTTACTGCAAATGGGATTTGGTTTAATGTTTAAAGCAAACATTACAAGCGGTAATGTTTGTTACCGCTTATACTTAATGTTACACTGTAGGATAGCGTACCTTGCTCATTCCATATGTTAATCATGTTAACCTTTCCTCTATTATTTCTTCCATTGTGATAATTCCGTTGCAATAGCGATTGTAAATTAACCGGTGAAAAGAAGGAAAACAGGGATAATGGAAACAGGAGAAAGTAACCACGTTATTTGGTCATATACTTTGCAAGAAGAAAGATTACTGCCTTCATTTTTTCTTCAGTAGGGCAACGTAGGCAGGGTTTTACCACTGAGCTCTATTCCTGGGGTCCCCCTCTGTTTTCATGAGAACAAGAGAAAGTATGTGCACAGCCAGCACTTTCTAACTGTGCACCCAACTTGTCTTTGTGAGACAAGGGTTAGTGTAGCTCCAGCGAGCTAGAGAGGATGGCCCTGAAACTATATTGTTCCATTCCCTGCTGGCCCACACCTTGTTTTCAGTTTTAAGATGATTTCACCAAGTTGCCCAGGCTGGTCTTGTACTCACTTTGTACTCAAGGCAGGCCTTGAATTTTGTGATGCTCTAGGTTCAGACACCAAGTGGCTCAGGTTACAAGCCTGTGCCATGAGGCCCAGCTGAGCAATCCATTTTTGCAGCAAAAAGGGGGGGGGGGGGCATACAGTTGCAGTCCTAGAAATAATCTTAAACATTACCTGTTAATATTGTAAACTTCTTGGTTTGTAATTGCTTTGGATTTAGGAACTCAAAGCCCATGTTGATCTTGTCTTGAATACACTGAAATGCAGCTCATTTTTAACTTAATCCATCATAGTGTGGTAGGTAATTTTCTTTTTTGAAATTTTATTGTGTGTTGGAGTGGTGTTTGTATAGAGATTAGAAAACAGCCTGCAGGAGTCTGTTTTTCTCCTACCGTGAGAGTTCCTGGCTTGTAAGAATTGCCATCTAGAGCCCTTATCCACTGAGCCATCTTCCTGGCCCCTGTTTGTTTTTTTTAGGCAGGCTCTCTAGCCCTGGCTGGCCTTTAACTTAAGTGTGCCTCTGGCCTTAAACCCCCCAACTTCAAGGGTTACAGTCCAGCTGCCACCATACCCAGCTAAAATAATTTTTGGTAACAAGATTTGTTAATATGTTGCCAAAGTTTGAAGTATTGATTTCTAGAGTATAAATACTTTTGGTTAAAATAGCATAATACAGGACTGGAGAAATGTCTCAGTGGTTAAAAGAGTGCTATCTGCTTTTCCAGAGGACCCGGGTTCAATTCCCAGCACCCACATGGAAGATCACAATTCTCTGTAACTCCAGGACATGAGTACATGCAAAAACATCAGTGTACATAAATAAAATTAACTAAGTTACTGTAAAAAAAAAAAAATAGCCCAATACAATACCTACTATCAGGAATAACTTTAACTGTTTTCTCTTTATGATTTTTTTCCTCTTTAAGCACACGTATTTTAGGTCTGTTTTGTTTTTAGCTGCTGTCATTAATATAAATTACAGGGTGTTGGCAATGTAATGTTCTGTTTTGATGTGAAGATTGGCTGTACGTTTTAAGTGCCTGTGTCGTGGACTGTGTCCTTAAACAGGATGAAAATGTGCAAAGTCACTTCTATGTTCCTATGAGCCAAATCACCTGTTTCTTCTATTTGAAAGAACAGTTACATGACCTAAAAAGTTGATTGTTGTCTCTGTACCCAATTGACCTTTCAATGAAGGCCAAAATATTCAGCTAAAATACTTTTAAGGTTTTATAGTAGGTTAGCTTGTTGCCTCTAAAAGTTTAAGATAGTTGGACCCTGTATTTCTAGCCCTTATGAATGGTGTACACTCAAGTTTTAAGAGAAGAAATCCACAGGCCAATGGAAATAAAAATAAAAAGCAATTTTTTTTTAAAAGAGAAGGAAATCAGATAGGCCTCTATTTTTAATTGGGATATTAGTTAAATGTGTGTGAGCATAAAAGTACACAGACATCAGTCTGTTTAATTTGTACCAATTTTAAACAGAAATACAAAGCTGATCTATAAATTATTCTTGTAGCTGGTATTGTGCTGAAATTTAATATGTTGAGAAATGGTAGCAGCTGTTTAAAGTTAACTATCCCGTAGACCATGTGATGACTAAGTTATCCTTCCAACGTAAGCTATGAGGTCATTTAACTATTTAGAATTGAAGATAATATTTTAAAAATTAGTTCTAAGCAGGTCATGGTGACATATACCTTTATTCCCAGCGCTTGGGAGGCGGGGGCCAGCCTGGTCTACAAATTGAGTACAGGACAACCTGTTTCTGTTATACAAAGAAACCCTGTCTCAAAAAAACAAAACAAACAAAAAAATGAAAAAAATTAGTTTTAGCCAGGCACCCAATAATTCCAGCAGTCAGGGGAGGCAGAAACTATGTGAGTTCAGGACCAGCCTGAGCTACATAACCCAATATAATAGAATGAGCACATGGTGACACAGTATAAAAATCTTAACTTTGACCCACTTTAAAAATATGAACACAACTACATAATGTATATATGTGTGCTGTGGTTTAGGTTGTTGGGTTTTGTCTTTTTGTTTTGTTTTTAGGATGTCATTAGCAAGTTTTCTAGAGGTTATTTTAATCAAGCCACGTGTTGTAGGAAGACTAACTGAAGTAGAACTTTCAGTTGAAATACTGTGTTAAAAGAACACCTGGTTGGAGAGACAGCACTGGCTGCTCCTCAGAGGATCTGATTCAATTCCCACCATCTACATGGTGGCTCACTACCATCTATAAATGCAGTTCCAGAGGACCAGTGCCCTCTTCTGACCTCTTTGGGCACATGAGTAGTATACAGACATATATGCAGACAAAACACACAAACTTAAAAATTATATTAAAAAAAAAAAAAAGAGATGGGTGGAGCATGGTGGCCTACACCTTGAATCTCAGCAGTCTAGAGTTCAAGGTCAGCCTGGTCTATATTGTGAGTTTTAGAACTGCCAGGGCTATCTGGAGAGAAAGGGGGAGAGAGGGAGAACAATTTAAAAGTTAAAATCGGCAACAACAAAAAAAGACAAGCCTGGTACTTTTGTGTATTGTGGAAGAGGAAGGGAACTGTTATATACAATGTTTCAGTGTGAAATCTCTAGTCGTGTACTTTCCGGCTGCAAATTCTCTCAAAGGTGCCCAGAGGTAGATGGTGCTGGGTGACCTTGGACTGTCCTGCCTGAGAGTAAGTTTATCTGCCCCATTATCTGTCACAGGATGAAGTCCAAGCTCACCAGCTTGGTGTTCAGCCTCCTTTCATCACATCATATTCTCTTTCTTCATCTCCCATAAGTCCTCCTCTTGCTTACATTGTCTGTTCTCTTCTTGATGCCTCCTTCGTCCCCAGATAAAACCTGCTTGCCTAAGGTTTTGTGTATCTGAATCATACATGCTTTTTTCTTTAATCAGAATTACGCTTGTTTACATGTAACAGGAAAATGAAATTAGCGGTAGATTAAACAAGATAGAAGTTATTTTTCTCTCTTGGCAATGCTGCACGAAAGAAAGTCAGCCCAGGACTGGGAGAATGGCTGTAAGGTTTCCAGGATGTTATGTGTCCTTTGTTGCTGTCCACTATTCTTAGCACCTCAGGTCTTAATGTAGTATGGCTGCCCCAGTTTAAGACATCTTAACCTCATTAAACCCTGAGAATGGACATAAAGGGCAAAACAAAAAACCTGTATTTTCTCCCTCACAGAAGGTTTCTTAAATCTTACACATGACACTTGTTTGTTTTAATGTGTATAGGTGTTTTGCTTGCATATATGTCTGTACATGTTTGTTGCTTGCTGCCCTGGAAAATCAAAAGAGGGCATCAGATCCACTGGGTCTGGAGTTATAGATAGTTGTGAGCCACCATGTGGTGCTGGAAGTTGAATCCAGGTCTCCGGAAGAGCAGCCATTGGTTTTAACCACTGAGCAATCTCTTCAGCCCCACTCTTGTATCTTATGA